GAGGATGAAAAAGCTTCCCAAGCTTATGGGTTGGAAGAATCACTACAGAATACTACAGAGCCACAGTAATAAAAACAGCATGGTACTGGCATTTACCCAGATACACAGATCAGTGGACTAGAAGAGGGGTTCCAGATATAAGGCCAAGCTACTATAGCCACTTGATACTTGACAAACATGAAAAAACTACACACTTGACAAAAAGTATCTTCAACAAATGGTAATAGGAAAATTAGATATATACATGTAGAATTAAACTAGAGCCTTATTTTCCCATCATCCACAAGAATAAACTCCAAATTTATTAAAGACCTTAAAACCTCAAATTCTGAAATTGCTAGAGCAAAAAGTAGAGAAAACACTTAAAGATCTAGGCATAGAAACTTTCTGAGCAGTACTGTAGTTGCTGAGTGAAGGTCAACAATTGACAAACGGGACCTCATGAAACTAAAAGGCGTGTACACAGCAAGGGAAGTGGTTGCACAGCAAGGGAAGTGGCTGCAGGAAGAGACAGCCTACAGAACGGGAGGACGTTTCTGGCAGCTATACATCTGACAGAGGATTAAAATCCAGAACATACAGAAAATTCAAAATACTAAACAACCCAATCAGAAAATGGGCTAAGGAACTGAATAGCATTCACAAAAGGAAGAAATGGTTAATATTTTAAAAACTGTTCAGTGTCCTTAGCCATCAGTGAAATGTAAGTTAAAACTACTTTGAGGAGAACTGGAAAGATGGGTCAGTGGATAGGAGCACTTGCTGCTCTTGCAGAGGACCTGAGTGTGCTTCCTAGCACACATCAGGTGACTCATATAACTGCTTATAACTCTAGCTCCAGGGGATCTGATTATGTCTTCTGGCCTCTGCAGGCACATCACACACACACACACACACACACACACACACACACACACACACACACACACACACACAGACACATGTAAATCTTTAAAAAATTGACTTTATTTCATTTTAAAAAGATAAAAAGACTATCATCAAGAAAACAAAAGACAACAAATGTTGGTAAGAATATGAGGAGGAGAAACCCTTATACACCACTGGTGGGTTTGTAAGCTATTGTAGCCACCAGGGAAATCAATGTGGTTTCTCAAAAAAATAACTTCCATATGCCCCAGCTATATTACTCCTGGGTATATACCTAAAGGATTCTATATTCTACCACAGAGATACTTGCACATCCACAGTTTATTGCTGCTGTATTCACAATAGCAAGGGAATACAATAAACCTAGATGTTCATTCATTAACTGATGAGTGGATAAAGAAATGTATGATATAT